TACGATAACAGACTGCTCTCGATTTACATCTGAAATTTAAAGTATTACCTATATTGAGTAACTTCGGATCATTGATCCAGACTATTCAGCATGTCAGGTCCTTACACTCCAAGTCAGTTCGTGACCACACACACACATTGCATGCTCTTTTTGCCATATAATAGTATCGACACACTTTCAAATAAAGATAATTTAACACGAAAACATTTTCAAAACAAATAGAAAGTCTAAGTAAACTATAAAAAATTTCCAGGTTTGTGGTTTATTCTTAAGCCTTCTGAACTTCCCACTACATCCTGTAATTCTTCTCTGTGCGAGCTATGTTTTGGGACTTTCCCACGAAACTATAAATTACTTCTCGCACCACTTTATTCACTCCACACTGACGTAGGTAGTTTATAATATGCTCTATCAAATGGTATTTAATCTTTGGCTGTAGATATTTTGAAAACTAAAGTTCATTAGTAGTTGGGTTCCTAGTGGTTCAACAATAAACCTGAAGGCTTATAACGCTAAAACTGGGTTTAATTCCCGTGGTGGTCACAGCACAAATAATTCGTTGTTAAACTTTGTGCTTAACAACAAACAAATATTAATAGTTGTTCAATCATCTGCTCTGAGTTTATAAAATGGTGTGAACCAAGAGGCTGCACTAATATAATTCAGAGAAGCGAAACTCGCATGAGAAACAAACCCTTAAGGATGTAATCACAAGGGTTGATAGTTTCTTAGCAAATATAAACATACGTTTTGAGATGGCCAGAAGAGACTCCTTGGAATTGGCAGAAATGCTAATATGAATAGTTGTTTTCATTATTCTTTGTAAGTTACGTTAAATAAATGTTACAAAATGATAAACTACCAATTCTAACATATTTTGAGTATAGAATTATTGATATAGAATTAGAAATGTTATTTGACTTTGAAATTTGATATTCGGATCCACACTCGTCACCTGAAATATGCCCACTGATTAGCGTTCCAGTTTTAGCTTATTTGAAGAGAGATTTTCCCTTCGTCCTGGATACGAATTCCAGCAACAATGGACGCTTAGCAGCGCTATCACAACTACGGAATGGTATGAAGTGTGTTATAGTACGGTCTTGTCCAAAATGTTTGTATTCTGTTCCATATTGATGTTATTGTCTACATGGATGGAATAGTTATTGAGTAAATGCCGGGTAATAACAGAGAATGTAGCTTATGATCAAGTTGTTATTCTGGTCTGTATAAGTTGTTTTGAGCGTTTGTTCATCAAAACATACATACACGCCTGTTTTATATAAAAGGATGTGCTTTCGGTATAATATTTTTAGAAACAGATCAACGATTAGTTCAAACAATTTCTCTGTAATTGGTCTAGAGTCATGCCTCGTCATGCACCAGAAGTTATAGGATGTCAAATTGTTCCACTGTACAGAAATGGTATGAAGCAAACGGACATTACCAGAACAGTAGAGTGCCCACAGTGTACTGTATCCAAAATCCTGAAACGTAATCAGACTACAGGAAACATTTTTCCAGGAAAGTCTACTGGTATATGCCGAAAAACTACTGCCCGAAATGACCGTGTTTTGATCATGTTAACATGTGAAAGTCGAAAATAGGTGTTGCAACAACTTGCGACAGAAATGGCATGAACACATTCATTCCAGGGTATCCGGAAGAACAGTGTGAATAAAAGATTCATCAAACAAGGTTATGTTGCGAAAAACCACAATTCACCGCTGGCTCCATGTTACTTGGGCAAGACAGCGTGTCAGCTTACAGCTATGACACTGACGACATGTCATCTTTTAGGGTGAGTCCTGTTTCCGGGTTGTTAAAGCTGATGGTAGGATTCGTGTTCGACATTTGCCTGGAGAACAGATGAGGGAAGACTGTCTTTCTTACAGGAAACACTCAGGAGGTGGTGCAGTAAATGCTTGAGTAGCTATTAATCATGGTGGAAAAAAATGATCTTTATATCCTCCAGGGAAATGTCATTGGCGCCTCCTACGAATATCACATGGAGACTATTTCTGTCATATGTTAGAGCAAGGTTTGGCAATAACTTTGTATTCCAGGATGACAAAACCACTGTCTATACTGTGTATCTTGTACAAGATTATCTTGACCAGGAGGACGTTACAAGATTGCCATGGCCAAAAAAGTCCCCAATTGTAATCTCATTGAAAACTGTTGGACGGAACTGAGGAGGAAAATTGCTGACCACGACCCTAAACCAGCTACTGTAGCTGAGTTGCAGCACCTTCTAGTGACAAGTTAGGATGAAATCATGGTGGATTACATCAATAACCTCATCGACAGCATAACACTTTGCCTTGTGAAGGTTATTAGAGTACGAGGAGGACCAACCAAATAGTGAATGTTTAATATGAACTGATATAAGGTTACATACGCTATTTATAATAATTTGATGATATATTTTGCCATTATATATGTTTTAGTAAGGTTTTGTTGTGATAGGTGAAATACTGAATTACACATCTTTCTACAGGTGTCTAATAAAATTGTTTGCTATTCTAATAAATTGTTCATGATGTCCATAGAACCTGTTTTGTTATACAAATTACATGTATAGATGTTTAACATAACATGAATTTCTCAGTTTGACAACTCTAAGTGTATTTGTATTCCATTCTAATAATAATTATCTTATTTGTTACACACACACTCACGTCAACTGAACGCCATTGCTGTTCCATTCCAGTAGTAGTTTAAACATATTCTCACCTATTTACTCAAGTAAATAATTCATCACTGAAGAGGTTGATGAATTTTAGGAGTCGGTTTGTTTGTTTGTTTGTTAAATTTCGCACAAAACTACACGAGGGCTATCTGCGCTAGCCGTCCCTAATTTAGCAGTGTAAGACTAGAGGGAAGGCAGCTAGTCATCACCACCCACCGCCAACTCTTGGGCTACTCTTTTACCAACGAATAGTGCGATTGACCGTCACATTATAACGCCCCCACGGCTGAAAGGGCGAGCATGTTTGGTGTGACAGGGACTGCGCTCAAGTGTCTGTGTGATAACTTGAATTACCACACCCTTGTTACTGTATAGATGAATTAGAGAAGGAAGAAAGAACAGCCAATCAGAGCATTCAATAAATATAAAAAATACACTTGAACGGACAGCCAATTAGAGCATTCAATAAATATAAAAAATACACTTGAACGGACAGCCAATTAGAGCATTCAATAAATATAAAAAATACACTTGAACGGACAGCCAATCAGAGCATTCAATAAATATAAAAAATACACTTGAACGGACAGCCAATTAGAGCATTCAATAAATATAAAAAATACACCTGAACGGATAGCCAATCAGAGCATTCAATAAATATAAAAAATACACTTGAACGGACAGCCAATTAGAGCATTCAATAAATATAAAAATAAACTTGAACAGAAGGGGTAAAAAGTGTAAGTACATGACATTGACTTATATATATTTAAAACACTGCATTTTCAAGGGACATTGCCAAGCACCTCTAGAACCGAACACTCTGGATCACGTTTACCTAATTTTAACAGGATACTTTTGGTTAATTATATTGAAAGAACAGCCATATTAAACAAGCCGATAAAACACATATATAATCTAAGATCTTCCAGAAAAAAGTACGACACTCTTAATATTAGACAATAGTTAATGTGTAGAAACAACCATCACTTAATATATTTTGCTTTTTGTGTATATATGTATGTGTACGTATATTTACATGCTATCCTCATGACCAACGTTCTCCAAATTGAACATTTTAATTTTTTTTTGTAATTAAGCACAAAGCTACACAATGGGCTATCTGTGCTCTGCCCACCACGGGTATCGAAACCCGGATTCTAGCGTTGTAAGTCCGCAGAAATACCGCTGTGCCACTGGTGGGCAACATTTTCAATCAGAAGGTTATGTAGAAACACATGACGTACTTACGAAAACACTAAAACAGTTTGGCAAAGTCTGAAAAGTTGCTTCTGAAGAAAGGTTTTTTATGGTCTTAGAAAAATATACAATTTTTATTTCTTTGTTATTGTTAAGCACAAAGCTACACAGTGAGCTATCTGTGTTATACCCACCACTTGTCCCGAAACTTCGTTTTTAGCGTTATAAGCCTTCATGATGTGGTCTTCCGGTGGAACAGTGATAAGTTTACAGACTTACAACACTAAAATTCGAAGTTCTATTCCTTGCGGTGGACACATCAAACAGTCCAATGTGGCTTTGCTCTAAGAAGAAGAATCAAACAAACAAAACTTGCCGCAAGGGGCTAGTTAATATCTAAAAATATATATAATTAGTCTCTGAATAATTACTTCTATGAATAATATTTTTTTCTAATGACTATTCTTGTATTTTCAAGCATGTATATAAGAAGATTATTTTTTCTAAACTAACTTTGAAACTTTGTTACATAATATTCGGGACGCTTTAAAAACACAGTTTGTAAACAAAGTGCACACGAGTTGGGCTTGTGACATTTGAGCTTTACAACACATTGTGATTTCATTTTATTTTTTGATTCATTGTAAATTCAGAAGTTTTCTGTAGTATGCTACTCATTTTCAATTTGTTGTTATATGCAGATTAGCTCAAGAATTATCTTGGGAGTTAAATAGTTCCTACAGGTTTTTAACGACTAATTTTAAATTATCTCTCAGTGGCTCAGAGGTAGAATTAAGGGGTTTATACGCTAAAAACCGGGTTTCGTTACCCATGGTGGGCAACTAATAGATAGTCCATTGTGTATCTTTATGTTTAAACAGAAACACGTAATCTTAAATTATGTATTTCATTTACACGTGTTTGTTTGTTTTGAATTTCGCGCAAAGCTACACGAGGGCTATCTGCGCTAGCCGTCTCTAATTTAGCAGTATAAGACTAGAGGGAAGGCAGCTAGTCATCACCACCTACCGCCAACTCTTGAGCTACTCTTTTACCAACAAATAATGGGATTGACTGCCACATTATAATGTCCTCACAGCTGAAAGGGCGAGCATGTTTGGTGGGACAGGGAATCGAACCCGCGACCCGCAGATTGCGAGTCGAGTACCTTAACCACCTGGCCATGCCGGGCCTTTTTACACGTGTTAGAGAATTCTTGCGTAGTTGCACCACCTAGTGGTAGAAGTTCAATGAAAAATAGCTAATTATGATACACAAGGAACCATTATCGATATGCTGAACTTAATAACAATTACTAAGTTATACTTCACATGTGGTTCTAAATGTGATAATTCCATAGCGTCTCTTATCTGCACGTGACATGATAACATGATTAGTGCAGGGATAGGACATTTTATACTTTTGCATACAATGTTTTGTTTTAAATTACTATGTTACCGATTAAGACACAGAAAGTCACTCAAGTACACACTTCATCTCCTCCTTTTTTGTGCATGCAAGAAACCAGTTCGGTAATTGGCAACTAACCAAGTTTCTCGCAGGGAAGATAACTTTCTGTTTTTGGATGTCATTTGCTATCTTCTCTGTCGGTAAATCTAATAAGCAGTGCCGGATTTAGGCATAAGCTAAACAAGCAACAGCTTAGGGCCTCACAAAATTTCAGATTTTTTTTTAATTTATTTGGCTTTTTATGTGTACTGTACTTTTTAAAACGTCTTGTTTTAAAAATTGCATTGTTTCCAGTGTATACTATATTATAATCTATGAGAGAGATCAAGCCAGCCAAATGATAAGCATGTAATCAGTAAATGCATTCATTTGAAAATAATTTGTATTTTTCAATTTAAATACCTTGCTATTAAATAATTAAAAGATACATATGTATGTTTTTAATTTTTTTGTGGCGACCCAAGGTCCTGTTTTGGTACTGCACCTTTGTGAGACCTTCTGGTTTAACTTTTTAACAAGGGGCCTCCAAGCTTTATATAGCGTAGGGCCTCACCAAGTCTAAATCCGGCACTGCCCAGAATAAGGGTCAGGGGAAACCACACCATAGTGCTCGATTCACAGTAGACAGGGATCTTGTGTTCGAGGTAAATTTGGTTGGTTTTCAGCGAATCGATTTTTTATACATAAATACGAGTTTGTACATACAAGTCAAGACTAGACTTACACAGCACCCAGAGTTTAATTAATAGGTGCAATTTTGTCAGGATTTTTATAGATTGTGCCTATTTTTGTAAACATAGATTATACAGTCTCTCAAATTGTGTGAGTTAACCTGTTGTTTTTGGTTTTAATTTGAGCTTTAACTTGAAGGGGTGTATTGTTAATCTAAGTATTTGGATTTTGACGTATTTTATTCAGGTTTTAAGGCTAATGTTTGAACTGTGCTTCGAGTTTAAAGATTGATCCTAGTTTTGTTTAAACGGTGCTTTTGTTTTCATTTTGAGTGTAGGGTTTTCAATTCAACTTACAGTGGAGACACACTGGGTTAATAAGAGTTTCTGAATAAGGCCTTAACCTCTTATAAGTTCGGCACGCATTATTAGACACTTTCCTTTGTTTTGTTTCTGTGATTCTGTTACGTTATTTTGTGTTACTAATGTTACGTCTCTGTTCGTTTGTTAATTTCCCGTAGAAATTCTTCCCGAGAAACTTCAGCGATACAAGTCATTTCTTAAATGAAACTAGTTTATTCTTCCTCAATACAACTTTGCAATATACGTAATTTCCACCCTTAAACACACGCTATAATTCTCAACGAACGATTCACGCAATTTACTTACTACCAAGTTTGGCTCAATTGTCCGTCTATATCTTCAATCTCTCTGTCTGCTATTCAATCAATTATCTCGCTTTATTTGCCTGCTTATATACAGAAATAGAGGGCGTCTAGCAAATAGTGGATTATTCGTGACGTTCCCCGATCCTTCTAGATACTCATTACGTGTTAACAGCGTCACGTGACTTCCGCTGTCGTAACAATAACATCTGTTCCTTTTGTGTCTATCTGTGTCAAGTCTTTCTTCTAGATTATCTTGATGGGAGTTTTGGGAAGATCAGTTACATTCCTGAGCCTGCTATCTATTGAACATTCAACTAGTAGGCCTAAATACCCATTGTGCAGAAAGTACCACAAGTATTTTAAACATCTGCTTATAAATTTCTAACAGTGATTCCTGCTTTCCCGGATGCTTAGAATCGTCGCTTCTTACGAGAGTATAACTTATAACAGTCACACTTTTGAATTTATCACCCGCATCATAAGAAATTTCGCCCTTTCAGCCCACAATTTTTCATCTCCTTGTGTTACTGAAATAAAATTTCGTGAGTGAGGTGAAGAGAAACAACAGTTTTTTTTCGTGGCCTGAGATATTTAAAACCAAAATACCTGCCAAGATTTTGCGTTTCTATTTGTAATAACATGTATTACCGTGAAAAAAATAAATATTCATTAGCTTTAAATTACCATTGTATGAATAATATCCTAAAAGTGTAAGAGCTTCTGGAAAGCTCAACTAAGATATATATATTGTTACGTATCTGCTCTTTGGTTAATTTCCGGTATAAATTCTTTCCGAGGAACTTCAGCGATACAAGTCCCTTCTTAATTAAAACTAGTTTATTCTTTCTCGATACAACTTCGTAATACACAGAATTTCCACAGTCACTTTAAACTTAACAATCTTTATAACACACGCTATAAATCACAGTGGTTCACACACTTTATTTACGGTGCCTACTGTTCGCTTGACACAATTATCTATATCCTCAATCTATCTGCCAATGCAATTGCGCTGGTTTTTCTCGCCAGGCTTATATACTAAAAAAAGGGCATCTCAAATGCACTCGGGCCTTCATGATCATTCGAGAAACTCCAG